ACACATACCCAACCCTTTTCCCCATTTCATATTGGACTTTCTAAATTCCTTTACCTTGTTTAGACTTCTCTCAAGGTAGGTCTTCATTTTGTTTAAGAACATGAAATATATATATTTACGTATGTTACAGTTATATACAGTTAAGATGCTATGTACACAGCAAAGGGAATCCAAACACCCCCCGAGGGGAAAGGGAAAGGGGAAAAGGGACAAAAGGGGACAAAAAGGGGCACCGAACAGATATACGCAATCAAACTCAAGAACTATACTAATAACTAGCAAAACAAATCTCACCATGTCCCTTAGAAAAGCAGGATTGGCAGACACAACCAGCACTCTCCAAACCTCCACGTGGGAGGCCAGTGGTCGCTGCAGGCCTCAACCTTAGATAAGCGAGACCAATGCAAGGACCCACTGCTCCTGAACCTCGTCGGAAGAGAAGACAGTGAGATATCTAATCTCCAACTTATTTATACTATGGTTTATGTAAAAATCGTATGGAATACTGGGTACATGGCCACTTCCTTGGTTACAAACTGGTCACCAGGAAGGCCTAGACAAAAACCATCACAATTCATTATATCACATGCATATACATTTACATCACTATTCTAGGTATTCACCATATGTTTATTTTCACAGCTTAGACTAATTGGTTATCTCTATGGTAAATTATAAATTTATATGTCCTTCAAAATAAGGCACCATTATGCTATTTGACCTGATCTGGTTTGGACATAATTCTTGGCTAGGAGGACAGGGAGGATGATGGTCTGTTTCATGTCTTTATGGGGGTGCAATTAAGTTTTAAAATCTGTTTGTTTTTCTTCCCTCCTGGGTTATATTCACCCATTTGACATGAATTATAACCTGTATTTATTACAAGAGGTATCTGTGGTGGTTTTCCCCCAGCTGACCTGGGGGATCCTGGAAGAGTTAAAGCTAAGTAGGAACTTTTGCACAAGACAGAAAGTACGTCCAGACCCGGAAGATGTAACAATATGGTTTTCCGGTAAAATATGCTGAGTCATAGTTGGCTGACATGCACAGTTAACAGAGTTATATAATGTTATTAGTGACCAATAGAAGGTTATTTATGCAACTTGGAGACCAATAAAGAGTTAACATGTGTAGCCTAAAAGTGAATAAAAATAGCAGCCAGGTGCAATAAAGGGTTCCAGTTTCTGGTTCCATAAGGGTAGGTGTCATATGTCTCGCCTCGACCCCCACAGGTATCTGTTATAAGTTAATTCTTCTCTTGAATTTTGAAGACGGCAAAAATACCTGCAGGACAAAGAAATATAACAAGAGATTTTTATTGCAGCGCTGGGTACCCATTTCTAGTGCTGGGTGCACCTCTGAATCATACAGAGAGCACACCGCTGTTTGAAAACCGCACTTTTTTGTACTCTTCGATATCAGCTGTTAAATATTCATTTACTGTCAGTTTGTTACCTTAAAAGGTAATTTCTCTACTTTGGAAGTGGGTGTTACTTTTTGATTGGTTGCAACCTATCTCCCCTGGGCTCGTACAGGAGGGTCTTGCATCATCCCCATGTTGCAAGGCATGGGAGGTCTCTCTGTGTATTCACATGGCAGAGAGTGTTGGGGAGCCCAACTGGTTCTGGGCTTTCAGTAAGCTGAAATGCTGCAGATGGAACTTCTTACACCTGGCAGAAGGTTAACCACGGACAGTGGGGACTGTGACACAGTGGGTTTCCTGTTAGAATGTCAACCTATTGTGTTAAGACATGTGGCTGTATGTCCAATCATGAGTTGTTATGAAGTGGTAAACCAATGCTGTGTGTACATGTGTCACCCCAGAACTGTATAAAGGTAGCTGCACTGTTGCAATAAAAAGGGCTGCTGGTATCCTGAAACCCATGTCGCCCCCCACCTCGACCGCGACAGAGAGAAATACATTGAAGCCACTCAAAAGGAAGCAGTCTCCGAGAAACAAGAAGTTAAAACACAAAAATGTAAAGCACTACAGGAAAGCTTAGCATTAGGAAACCACGGAGGTAATAAATTGTCTGAGGGAACAGAACATGTTGATAACAGGATACTAAAACCATAAAGATAACACAAAACAAGGAAATAGTAGCATCAGCAAATCCTAGGATGAGCCAAAAGTCAACCTGACCTTATTATGTTTGCCAAAACTGCCTTAAAAGGAGGAGATCTAAAGAAAGTTCAGAAGTTTACAGTGAGGAAGACTCACACACGACCCCCGCCCAGAGGAAGGCAACAGGAACCCCCACCGTGAAATCTCCCCAAATTGAAGACTCCGCCCAGACTCCGCCTATATATGAATATTACAAGTAGATGTTGCAACTTAATGAATATGCATGATTGTGTTGTAATCCTATACTCAAAAACTGTATAAAAGAGCTATGCTGATTGTACACGACGGAGCTCTTTGCCCAGGGCGACCTGGAGAGCTCCCCAACGCGTTGCTAATAAAATACCTCCTGCTTTAAAGAAACAAACTTTGTCTCTAAAGCAACTTCTCTGTGCCTTTTTGGGGCAAATTTCGGCATCAACATTTTTATTTATAATTCGTTCCCTGTTCCCGGCCAAGAAAGATTCCCTGGTGGTAGGTCCAGACAGGACCTTACAGCCTCCACGGTACACCTATAAGTTAGTAAATATACAGAAATAGTTCTTTTGTTAGTACCCTCTGTTTATTTTAATTTGCTTGGAATAAAACCAGTTCCTCTGTTTTTCACAGTATCTTCCCCCAGAATGCCAAGGCAGTGGAAAGGGTTCAAAAGGGTTTATTTCAGAGGCAAAGACATTAAAACTTACAAACTTCTCATCCCTGCCAGGCAGTATGGGGCCTCAGAGGGAAAAGGCAAGCCTCCTGTTTGTTCCCAGGCTTTATCATCACTGGCCCCCCTGACTCTCCCCGGCTGCAGTAGCTCTGTAGCATTTCTGTAAGCATTATCTTTCTCACATATCAGAGAGAGAGGTTGAGAACTTGCTATGTGGGGGAGAGGAGGGGGAAGCATTGAAACTGCCTTTGAGAAAGAGTTACCTTTTAGGTAGAAAGTCTTCCTAAGCAAAAGCTCTGTCTCCTCGTAACAAAATCTTTTGGGGAAAAAAAGGGTATTCTATCCTCACAGCATCGCCGGGGCTGCACTGCAGGGCTCCAGCCTTAGTGACCAGGGCAGCACAGCCATGACCCAGCTCCTGCATCCAACGCTTGATGTGGGAACTGACCTGAAGGGGAACACGTGCATGAGAGAGCCAGTAGGGAACTAAGCCTTCATCTTTAATATCCTCTGGGAAACAGCAGCCACCCATACCCAGCTCCTCTCCCAATTATCCCAACTCAGGAGGAAGAAAAAGGAAACATGGTTTTGCTCTGCATTTTTACACCGTGTTGCAAGGGGAGGGTCTGAATGCTGCCTGCCCCCAGCTCTGATAAGAGGTTCAAGTGCCCCTGTCCTCTGCTCTCATGCCCCAACAGACCCTTTTCTGCCCCATGGTACACCCCATGCTCACACCTCATTCTCAGTGGTGAGTGCAGCTGACTTCTCTAGTACCAGTTGCCTGTAGTCATTGGTGAGCTGGTTAGCCAGTATACCCAGCTCATTTGGTTTTGATGCCGAAATTTTGCCCCAAAAGGCATGGAGAAACTGCTTTAGAGACAAAGTTTGTTTCTTTAAAGCAGGAGGTATTTTATTGCAACGCGTTGGGGAGCTCTCCAGGTCGCCCTGGGCAAAGAGCTCCGTCGTGTACAATCAGCATAGCTCTTTTATACAGTTTTTGAGTATAGGATTACAACACAATCATGCATATTCATTAAATTGCAACATCTAATTGTAATATTCATATGAAGGCGGAGTCTGGGCGGAGTCTTCAATTTGGGGAGATTTCACGGTGGGGGTTCCTGTTGCCTTCCTCTGGGCGGGGGTCGTGTGTGAGTCTTCCTCACTGTAAACTTCTGAACTTTCTTTAGATCTTCTCCTTTTAAGGCAATTTTGGCAAACATAATAAGGTCAGGTTGACTTTTTGGCTCATCCTAGGATTTGCTGATGCTACTATTTCCTTGTCTTGTGTTATCTTTATGGTTTTAGTATCCTATTATCAACACGTTCTGTTCCTTCAGACAATTTATTACCTCCGTGGTTTCCTAATACTGAGCTTTCCTGTAGTGCTTCACATTTTTATGTTTTAACTTTTTGTTTCTCGGAGATTGCTTCCTTTTGCGTGGCTTCATTTCCCCCCTTTTCTTATAACTTACGAATTCTTTCGTCAAGTTTTAATCTCTAAGGGACGTTAGTAAGATTGGATCATTGCCCAAAGTGTTTGGGTTTTTGTTATTAAGGATTTCAGTCTGCTCCATAGGTATATGTTTGTGAGTGTTAGTACAAGCATAGCTATGGTTATGATTAGTATGGGGTGCACAAGGTAGTGGAATACTTGGGTTGCTGTTGGGGAATGCCCTGTAAAAATATCCCACTAATGGTAGTGCCGTGTCCATATTCACACAGGACTTTTACTCAGGGGCTTGGTACCCAAACAATTATCTGCAGATGCTGGTGTTTCACTTGTTCCTTCCTCTTGCTTATTCTCTGGAGCTTTCTTGACTCGTGAGTAATGAATCCATGTAGGTCGCTCTTTGATCCGGACCGCGGTGAAGGTGGTCAGCAGCACTTGGAAAGGTCCTTCCCACTTTTCTTGTAGGGGTTTTCCTAAGAGATTCTTAACATATACCCAGTCACCGGGGTTGAACGGATGTAATTTACAATCAGGCTGTTTGGGTTGATGTTCTATCACCACAGCTGTATTTTTATCAAAATGTTTCCCTATAGCAATTACATAATCATAGATGTACTGATTACCTATTTGGTCTACAGCATCTCCATTTACAATCTGCATAGCGTAAGGTCTTCCATACAGAATTTCAAATGGACTCAATTTTTCTTTTGATCTGGGTTTGACTCTCAGTCTAAGCAGAGCAATAGGCAGAGCCTGGTACCACTGTAAATTGGTTTCTTGGCATATCTTAGCAATTTGTTGTTTAATCAGGTGATTCATCTTTTCGACTTGCCCACTAGCCTGAGGCCGGTAAGGCGTATGTAACTGCCACTTAATTTGTAATGCCTTGCTTATTGCTCTTACTACTTTTGCACAAAAATGCGTACCTCTGTCTGAAGATATACTTCTCGGTACCCCAAATCGGGGTATTATTTCGTTTAGTAAAACCTTGGTTACTTCTCTTTCTTTATTTGTCCTACAAGGGAATGCTTCAGGCCACCCAGAAAATGTGTCAGTTAATACTAATAAATGTCGAAACCCCCCTTTTCTTGGGAGTTCTGAAAAATCAATTTGCCACACTTCACCTGGGAATTTACCTCGATTTATGGCTCCCTGATGTACCTTCGTTCCAGTATTTGGATTATTCTTTAGGCATCGCTCACATTGAGATGTGACGTATTTTACTGTAGTAAAGAGTTTTGGTCCTGCTATTCGGGTTTGTAAATATTGATAGAGTGGGTCTAAGGCCCAATGGGCTTTTTCATGTTCTGTCTTTACAAACTGCCACATTAATTTTTCAGGTATTATTAGTTGACCTGTTTCTAACTGTCCCCACCCGTTGTCTAACAATTTACCCTTGTTCTTTTTAATCCATCTTTGATCTGATTCTTGATAATTTGGTTGAAAATCTGTATCTAATTCTCCCGGTATTAAAGCTGTTATGGTTATTTCTTCAGTTTTTGCAGCAGCTAATTTGGCTTCTGCATCTGCCTTCCTATTCCCTATTTCTGGAACTGTGTTACCTTTCAGGTGTCCCTTACAATGCATTATGGCCACCTGCTCTGGGAGTTGGACCGCTTCTAACAACCTTAGAATTTCTTCTGCATGTTTGATTGTTTTCCCCTGGGCAGTTAATAGTCCCCTTTTCTTTCCAAATTGCTCCGTGAGCATGTACGACAGAGAAAGCATATTTAGAATCAGTCCAAATGTTAATTCGCATACCTTCTGCTAATTCCAGGGCTCGGGTAAGAGCAATCAGTTCTGCCTTCTGGGCCGAAGTCCCTGCAGGTAGGGGATTTGATTCAATTACCTCTTCTGTTGTGGTCACTGCATAGCCTGCCATTCTTACTCCTTGCCTCACGAAGCTGCTGCCGTCCGAGAACCAGTTGTCCGCATCTTCAAATGGTTCCTCCTTGAGGTCTGGACGACTGGAATAGACTGCCTCGATCGTTTCCAGGCAATCATGTTCGAGAGGTTCTGCCGGAATTCTCCCTTCTAGAAACGAAGCTGGGTTGACAATGTTAGTTACTTGAATGGTTACATCATCTGATTCAGCTAGGATGGCTTGATATTTTAGGAATCTTGAAGGCGATAACCAATGGTTACCCTTTTGTTCCAGCACTGCTGAGACAGTATGAGAGACTAACACAGTCATTTTCTGGCCTAGCGTAAGCTTTCTGGCCTCTTCTATGTTGATAATCACTGCGGCCACTGCTTTTAGGCACCCAGGCCAGCCTTTGCTTACTTCGTCCAATTGTTTGGAGAAATAAGCTACAGCTCTCTTATGTGGTCCCAACTGCTGTGCTAGAACTCCCAGAGCCATCCCCTGCCGCTCATGGGAGAATAACCAAAACGGCTTAGTTACATCTGGAAGACCCAAGGCTGGGGCTTTCATGAGTTCTTATTTCAGTCTTTTAAAAGCTCCTTCTGCCTCGGGAGTCCAGGTTAAGGTACTCGTAGTCTCCTTTAGTAAGTTATATAGTGGTTTGGCAAGTATTCCATATTGATGAATCCATAATTGGCACCAACCTGTCATTCCCAGAAAGGCCCGTAGATCTCTTACCGTTTCTGGTCTGGGCATCTGACAGATGGCTTCTTTTCTTGCTGTGCCTAGAGATCGTTGTCCCCTGGAGATTTCATATCCCAGGTATATCACCTTTTCTTGTACCAGCTGTGCTTTCTGTAGAGAAACTCGATATCCACTTAAGCCCAAAAAGTTTAGCAGGGAAATAGTCCATTCAATGTACTCTTCTTCTGTTTCAGTTGCTACTAATAAATCATCTACATATTGTAGAAGGGTACCATTTCCCAGTGGCCTTTCCCATTGTTCTAATTCTTTGGCCAATTGGTTTCCAAAAATTGTGGGACTATTTTTATATCCCTGCGGTAACACAGTCCAAGCTAGTTGAGTCTTTCTCCCTATTTTAGCAGATTCCCACTAAAAGCAAAAATTTTCTGGCTTGTCAGAGCTAAGGCTAGGCAAAAGAATGCATCTTTTAGGTCTAATACTGTGAACCATTTTAAATTTTCCCTCAATTTGGTTAGAAGAGTATAGGGATTTGCTACGACCGGGTGTAAAGTTTTTGTAATTTCGTTCACTGCCCTTAAATCTTGGACTAATCTATATGTCCCATTCGGTTTCTTAACAGGTAGGATTGGTGTATTAAAATCTGATTCACACTCTACCAATAATCCTAGTTCTAGAAATTTCTCTATTATTGGTTCAATTCCCCTTCTATCTTCCAACCTCAGCAGGTATTGTTTTCTTACTACCGGTTTTGTTCCTAGTATTAACTCAATATTAATAGGAGCTGCTCGTTTTGACCTTCCAGGTACATCAGTAGCCCATACTAGTGGGTATACTTCACTCATAATGCGTTCAATGCTATGACTTTCAGGTTTTGGTTCTATATAGCTGATTGTCAAACTTAAAGCTGCTATTAGTTGTTCATCATTTACTTGAAATTCAAGTTTATCTTTATTGAATTTTATTACAGCCCCTAAATTCTCTAATAGGTCTCTACCTAGTAGAGGCTTTGGAGAATTTGGTAAATACAAAAATTGATGAATTCCCATTTGTTTCCCAATTTTGTATTTAATAGGTTTTAGAAAGTAGGCTTTTTCTGGTTGGCCTGTCGCTCCCACGACCTGTACAAATTCATCACTTTTGGGTACCAATTCTTGATTCAAAACCGAAAATGTTGCTCCTGTATCTATTAAAAAGTTTAATTCTTTTTCACCTTCCCCTAGCTCCATTTTAACCAGTGGGTCTGCTAGGGAACGACTCACCGGTCCCCCTCATTCACTGTTCTGATGTGCAATGGTAGCGATTGCAGGTCTCTCTCCTAGCAGAGGACAATCTCGTTTCCAGTGTCCTATCTGCCAGCAATTAGCACACTGATTTGGTTTTATCCCAGGCAGATGGGGCTGAGATTCTCTTTTCCCACTCCCTTTTGCTGGGTAACCTCTACCTCTGCCTCTAGTATTGGATTCTGGAGGCTTTGCATTTGGGGCTGCCACTGCTGCTGCCACTATTCGAGCAAACCTTTTATCCTCCTTTTTCTTCTCTTCTTTATCTCTGTTGTTATACACTTTCCAGGCCTCGTTCATCAATGTTTCTAGGTTTCTATTTGCTGGGTGCTCAAGCTTTTGCAATTTCTTTCTGATATCTGGGGTGCATTGTCCCATTACTAACCCCAATAACTGTTGCTTCCCTTCCTCCGATGCTGGGTCGAGGGGTGTATACTGTCTCATAGCTGTCCTAAGTCTGTCCAAAAATTCTGAGGGGGTTTCATCTTTCCCCTGTCTGACATCATATAGCATTGCCCAGTTGATGGCTTTAGGTATTGCATTTCGCAAACCCATTGCTATTAGCTTTCTATATCGCACCAGCCACCCATACTGGACTGGATTATTCGGATCCCATTCTGGGTTTCGATTGGGGAATACTACATCTATTCTTTCTGGTAGTAACGCAGCATGCTCTCTTCCTGTTCTCAACACGAGTTCCTTTTCTGTTTCTGTTAATTCTGACAGCATTACCTCTATGTCTTCCCAATCAATATCCTGATTCTTTGCCAGTAATTCAAACCTCCTGGCTACTCCCTCTGGATTCTTTCTGAAATTTCTTGCCTCTTCTCTCCAGCTATTTAGATCGCTTGTTGTAAATGGTACTTTTATCCGTGCCTGTTCCCCTGCAATAGGCATTATCCTTCTGAGGGGAGCTATCATATAACCTTCGTCTCTCTCTTTCGCTTCCTTCCGTGCTGCCGATCTAGTATAGTATGAATTGCTAGTCCCTTCCCCAGGATCTTTTTCCTGGGTTTCGAGATCTATTTTATTCTTTCTCTTCCCTGTTCTCTTTTTCTGTTTTTGTTCCTCATTCTCAGTTTCCGATCCTTCCGCCAAATCATCCTCTATTAACCGTCTGGCATGGTTTACACAATCCAGCCGCCTCTCCTTCTGTGTTTGGATGAGACGCTGTCTACGCTCAACCCGCTCTGAGACACTGTCCTCTTTGTCCTCCTCTGTCCCTTGTATCTCTCTTTTATCCTCTATCTAAATGACTATACTCAATTTCTGTGAGTTGTCTGCTTTTTTGTTCTGGCTAACTATATCATCATCATCATCACTGCATCCTAGTCCCGGGAAGCTATTCTCCTTTCTAGTGCTCCCTGATCCTGGCAGGCAGTCCAGCCCTGGCGAGCCGCCCGGACTTGGCAGGCTGCCTGGACTTGGCGGGCTGCCTGATCTTCGTGAGGTGTTTTCATCTCTTGGCGTACTGCAATCTCCTCTCAGTTTAGGTGGGCTACTCTTTCTTTCCCGATTTTCTAGCCCCAGTCGTGGTGAGCTATCCTCTTTCCTACCAGTCTCCAAACTGAGAGGACTACTCTCTTCCCGGTAAGTTTCTGAGCCTTGTGGGCTACTCAGCTTCTGTGATCCGCTTTCTTTCCCGTAACTCTCCGATCTTGCTGGGCTGCTATCTTCCCAGCTGTTTTCTAATCTTTGGGGGCTGTAACCGTTCTTGGATCTGTCTTGTTCTAGTGACATATCCCCCAACAGACTAGTGTCCCTTTCGCTTGGGCGGAGGAACCCCATATCCTGGCACGAACGGCTGATACTCCCACAAGCTTATCTCGCTCTCTTTTTCGCTATCCTCCCTTGTTAATTTAAGGCATTGCTGTCCGATACTACAGGCATCACAGCAACGCTCCTTAGGTTTTGAATTCTTCTTATCTTTTTCTAGGGCCAACACTAGGGGATCCTGGGGTGCTACATTTACACCACACTCCTTCTGCCACTCTGGTTTATTCCTCAAGGTGAAGAACATATCGCAATACATTACTTCATCCCATTTATTTTGCCGACGGAGGAACAACATGAGTTGCAGAATCGTGTTATAATTAATTGTTCCCTCCGGAGGCCATTTTTCATCATCATCCAATTTATATAGTGGCCACCACTGTGTACAGTATTTTAAAAGTGTCTTTTTGCTTATGTTTCCCCCTGGAATCCCCCCTAAATCTTTCCAATGCTTCAAGACACACCCTAAGGGGGTCTTCATGTTTATATCTTTCCTTTGCTGGCCTCCCATTGCTGTTTTTCTAAATCTATCTCTTTGCTTTAACCAGATTTTTTTTTTTTTTTTTTTTTCTCTTTCTTTTTTTTTTTTGTCAATACTTCATACACACAGTTTCCAATCGCTTCGTCCGTCTCTGGCCTGGCTTCTCGCGAAGAACAGGAACCGCAGATTAGGACTCCGCACTCACTTCGTGCTTATTTGCACGTCTCACTCACACGCATTCACACCTGTACACTTTTAGATGAAACGTTCTTACCTCTTAGCTTATTGCTTTTTCTGTTTTTTTTTTTTTCTCTTTTTTTTTTTTTTTTTCTCTTTTTTTTTTTTTTTTTTTTTTCTTTCACATTCCAAAGCCCTTTCTCGAGAGCAGCTATTGGAACCGCTCCCAGAGATTGGCACCACTCCCAGAATTTATCGAAACCTTCCCAGACTTTTGGAAATAATCCCAGATTAGTTAAAACACTACAACAGACAAGCGATACGACAGACAAGCGATACGACAGACAAGCGATACAACAGACAATTTTTGCCGGCAAACTTATCCGCTCTGGTGGGACTCTAACCCACGATTACCTGGAAGTCCACCCCGAGGCCGGGACTCTAACCCGAATTTTTGGGACTCTAACCCACAATACCTGGGGGTGGCCAAATCCAAGCCGGGACTCTAACCCTTAGGGGATTATATGCTGGGGCGTCCCCTCAGCGTTCCCCTGGGGGTAACGTCTTACCCCCACCTCAATAAAGCGCTTTCTATTCCGAAAACATATAAAGCAAAACACAATAACATATAAAGCACAATAACATATAAAGCAAAATACCTCTTAATTTAAAGCAGGAGTTCTTGTCCGCCGTCGCACGCAGGTCCGAGGGGTCTGAGGAGTCTCTACCGACAAAAATCCGCCGGCAGGGCCCAGAGAGTCCCTAGACCCCCAGGCCCCGGCTCAGGAGGACTAAAACCTCCTGCCTGGCTTCGCCAAAAATGATGCCGAAATTTTGCCCCAAAAGGCATGGAGAAACTGCTTTAGAGACAAAGTTTGTTTCTTTAAAGCAGGAGGTATTTTATTGCAACGCGTTGGGGAGCTCTCCAGGTCGCCCTGGGCAAAGAGCTCCGTCGTGTACAATCAGCATAGCTCTTTTATACAGTTTTTGAGTATAGGATTACAACACAATCATACATATTCATTAAATTGCAACATCTAATTGTAATATTCATATGAAGGCGGAGTCTGGGCGGAGTCTTCAATTTGGGGAGATTTCACGGTGGGAGTTCCTGTTGCCTTCCTCTGGGCGGGGGTCGTGTGTGAGTCTTCCTCACTGTAAACTTCTGAACTTTCTTTAGATCTTCTCCTTTTAAGGCAATTTTGGCAAACATAATAAGGTCAGGCTG